CAATGATCAGAATAGCTTCAAATGAAAGAGCGAAAATCCAGAGCACCTCTACAGGCTAATGTTTGGGAAAGGAGTGACTGAAAAAAATAAGCTTTGAATCACCTGATCGACTTGATTCCTCAACACCAACGTTTGTTTGTTCATTTTTTTCAGAGCAAAACGTTGCCGCGTCTCACGATGCCTCACCAAATACACCGCTCCGTAGGCTCCATTACTGACCAACTGAAAATGACAGTAATAAGTCCGAGATTTTGAAAAAAATCTTACATTTACTAAAAACTGCCTGTACCAAGCCGTACTACTGCTTGGTAAGTGGTATTACTAATTTAAGAAGAGTTAGGCTAGCAGTAACGGGAATTCTCTCCGCCGCCGCCACGAAATTCACTTTCATATAGAATATGGATATGACGCGGGAGGAAAGAGAAGCTGACGTAGAGATGAGGGCCTATCGTTCTCAACAAGCCTACTACCCATCAAGCACCTTGGAGACATATAAGCTCTAATCGGTGCAACTTAATTTCGATACGGGATTTGGTCTTCAGGATAAGCTTTCATGTTGTAGCTCCAAGGATAGTGTGAAAAATCAGAGTTTAGATTAACATTTTCATGAATCACTTGATGGAAAGGCGACAAAAGCTTACCCTGATCGTCTCAAAGTCATCTTCCCGTGGCGCTCGGTGGTGGGCATCTGCCTTTCCAGGCTGTCCTGTATGAGTCTCTTCACGACGTGTCACTGTAGGCGGTATAGCATTTGGAGGTGATTCTGCTCGTGGATCCACATCCATCAATGGGTCGCGATCCAGCCCAAGTTTTCCTGAAATGGGAACCTTGAGATAGTACAAAGGAACCGATACCTCTACATACACAAATTAATTAGATGACAAAAGAAATACGAACTTCTTCTAACGCTTACCGATTATGTACTGCGGTAGGTCTGGTACCCTAGCGGTGCCGCTACCCAATTGTTCCCTCACAACTCCTTCTGCTTCTTCGAGTAGATGGTAAAACTCATCAGGATCAAACTCCTTCAATGAATAAAATTGAATACCAACTTTTCAAATTGTGTTCATCGGCCCAAAGATGCACACTCACGAGGCATTCCAACAATCGTGCCGGTCGACTGACGATCATCAGCAATTGCTTGACCAACTTGGAAAGGTACGCAAAAGATGCAGGTGATGTCTTTTGTTGAGCCTAAGAAGAAAATGGAAGTAGAATTCAAAAGAAATAGGTTAAAAAAGATAATTAGCCCGTTGATGAAGACCTTAACAACATACCTCGTTCAGTGTCTCATCAAGTCTCTGACTCATCTCACAGAAATACGAACACGATATGGTTTCATCACGTGAACGGGTCAGGCAGTCCGATGCTACCTGAAGATTAATAACGATGATTATGATCAATAAGAATGAACATGGTTACTGTTCGCAGGTACCGTATCCGTGGTGAGCCCCAAAGTAGTTGCCCAAAACTCGAGGTTTTTTTTGTGTTTCGGCATAGAAAAAGGTACTTCAAGAATGGAAAAACCCAGAAAAATAGGTGCAGACAACTATTAGCCTACCTCTACGACTTGGTGATGTAAAAATCTGGTTGCACCGTCGCCAATCAATCGTAATAGTGAACGGTCAATTGAAGTTTCCGTTTCCATGACCTGCAAAGATATTTAAAAATGCACAGGAATGACCACGTCTTTTTAGGATACGTTTTCATGACTATTCATTACGACTCGGAGTGGCAGAATTTATCAAAGTCGTCGCAAGCCATGACTATGGATGGGTATGTGAGACCGCAGAAGTTTTAGAAATGACGCAAAAAGCTGGTGTCGGATGGTATACGGTTCTAATGAAATGAATAGAATCCAACTGTATTATGCCTATCATTATATTTCCCGCATCATTAACATTTCATAATAAAATAAATATTAATTAAATAACTAATACCCAGGTGTGCTTCCGGCTAGGTGGTCTAGTAGACCTTTGTTGTTATTTGTTTTTTTTTAAGAATACCACCATGCTATATCATAATGCTGGTTGTCTACCTCCATATGTGTTTGCTTCTGCGGTTAGTATGTTACGTATCTAACTAGGCTATCTAACTAGAGAAGTTCTGTAATAAGCGCACCTACGAGTGCATAAATAAACAAATAAATAAATTTCAAAAATCGAATTGACAATTTGTAAAGTGGAGGAATTCTCCTATTTCCAGCAGGTTACGAAAACTTGTCTTTTTGAAGTCATGGAGAGACATACCCGTACGTGATAGATGTCCCCGCAAAACTCTATCAAAGCCGGTAAACATAGGCAACTACTGAGATTCCTCTTTACAAATGAAGCAAAAAGGTTCCAGTGCATACTTTTAACCTGCGCCTTGACCGAAAGACTTACCATTGAACGGCGGTTATTCACGTTATCTTGACTCGTATCATTGTCTGCTAATGATGAGGATCCACTGAGCGGAGCTTGTTCGGCTATGAACGCCGCCAGTTTTTCTTCCATCTGGATCTTAGCCTGAACAGTATAATCGTAAGGACCTTGAGCTTTTGCAGGAAAAACGCAGTTTTTTCATAAAGTATCTACTCTTACCAAAGTGTGCCCTGAAAGGCTTTGGTACAGCGAAACCTAGCGAAATGGATGAGGTATGAGTTTTATCAAAAACCCTCATCAGTTTCGAAACCCACTAGCGGAAGGCCTCAACCACAATCCCTGTCTAATGACACGAAAATTCAGCAATTATTTAAGGTTTAAGCTATATTTTCCTTACTAATTGATCCGATTTGCCACTGACCTTAGGAAAACGTTCTTTATAGACGCTATTCCGATTGAGGACATCCAAGTGGAATTCCGAATTGAGTTTGATGGGACTGCTGAAAATTAGTGGGATCACAATCAGAATAAAGAAAAAATAATACTATAGCAAGTTGGCTGTTTTAGTATTAGCATTCAAACAGCTCTTTTCCATCAAAGGCACATCCCAACAGAATGAGTGGGAAGGACCGGTACATAATAGATACACTTCGATCATTCTTTCGCTCAACACTGTGAGAACTAC